GTCCAATTGTCTTATTTTTTATTTATTTGCTTACATTTTTTTCCCCCCCAGCTACTAATGTAGTGGTGTTGTTTGGCGGTTTCGCGTAGAAGGTTGCAGATTATTTTGTTTGCTGTGCCATTTTTGTTCTCATTTTTTAACACGCAATAAAATATAAGCAAACATTTCAACAACTTTGAACTAAAATGGCGAATATAAAGTGGGAGAGTAAGTTGAAAGAATTAAAAATTACAACATTATATTTTTCTATATATAAGCCTTGACATGATTATATAGAGTTTAAGCTACATAATTTACTTTATTGTTAGTTCGTTTGCACAAAAAGTAAAATACCCTGGAAAACGATTTGTGTATGGGTTTTTGACAAGCCAATCTAGCAATTGAGCTCATCTTGCTTTTCAATAATCTCTTGACCAATTGCGAGTGTCCTAATTAATATCTTAACAACATTCGAGCACTTACTCTGACAGCTACCGTAGAAACAGCCTGACTAAAATGTATTGTAATTTAAGTATTGGACAAACTAGGCTATATCGACTTGCAGAAATCATCGGGACTGAATTATAAGCACAAATTTAAAATTAAGGGCAAGCTTGAATTGTTACAGAATACACCAGCTGTTATTGCATAAAAAATAGAATACCCCCATAATTTTCCATCCATATTCCACGTTTGCGGGTAAAATTACCAAAAAAAAAAAGATAAATAGCCACACAAGAATCTGACAGTTAGTCAGTCAGTTAGAAAAATGCAGTTTTAAATGCAGAGACTTATATGAACATAGATTTTCATTCAAGTCAGGCGCATAAAACAAATACACATTGTAGTGCAAATAGGCTGGATATTTATTTGCGTATATTTAATTTATTTGTAATATTTTGTTTGTCTTTCTTTGTAAAGTACATAAATGTGCTTACGCACACATTTATGTGTATGTCCCTTGGCTATTTACTTGAAAACGCAAATGCATATTAATATGGTTTTTATATAGTATTTCGCATAATGCGGCAAAGGCACAAACTTATAAATATTTATGTACATCCGGGCCCGGGTGAAATGTCGGGGTGTCGATTTAGGGTGCACACACACACACACAGACACACAGATGCACACACAAACAGATAAAACAACATCAAGAGTTACAACAATATCAACAACTATATCGAGTGGTAAGCATTGAGTGGCCACTGGCACACATACACTGATACACACAAATTCTGACTGGTACATGTGCTCGCTTGTGTTCATGCGAAGCACATTCCAAGTGAGACAGTGTCCTGGTATCCGCGTTCGCGTCCTGGCGGATTCGCGACCAAAGTATATAGAAGCTGGCCTCGCTGCCTGCTGGTTCTGCTGCTGCTGCTACTGTTATCTTTTTTGGAAAATCGCTATCAATAAATAATTTATGTGCAGGGCAAATGATAATGAAAAACCACCCCGTGCATGGCCAATGGGTCGACTGATGCGACTCAGCTTCTCAGCAACCAGCCCCCTGTGATTCGAGCACTGCGCTTGCCCCTGTCCCTGCCTCTGCTTCTGAGCCTGCTAGTTCGTCCCGGGGTTGCACTCGGTCGCGTTTTTCGCATTTCCGAAATGGACTGTTTAAGGCGATTTTCCCAGGACGGCAACGGCCAGTTGAGTGGCATTGAAATCAAAATCCAAATCGTGCAACCACTTCAAACAGCAATGCCATAGATGGCTGAGGAGAGGGGTAACATTTACGAGATCGTGTATGGAGGTGGGTTAGCTACAACGCGGAATAACATTATCAAGCATATGCAGACAGTCGAGCAGAACAAGGACTCAGAATGTTGGACTTATGATGTATTTTTCCGGGGATCGGCCCCCTGGCGGGCATTAGATAACCAAACAATGGCGGCACACACACGCACACACGCACACACACACACGTACACACACGCATACAGATTCAGTTGCGACTCTGGAGATGCAAAAACAGTTGCCGAATATAAGCCAAACCGACCAAAAGGGGCAGTGGCAAGGGAAAACGTTGAACGGGAACCCGTTGTGAGTGCTCTGAGTGCCAACATTTAAATGCGTGAAGGGTCAATGGGGAGAGGCAGCGCGACTCGCGAGTCCTGCCTCTGGCGGCCATTGCCCGAATGTATGTCAAGGCTTTGGCTTTAGATTAGGTTTTGCCTTTGAGTGCTGACCTGTCGCAGTTCCAATATAGAATTAAATAAGTTGCTTAAAATTATATCAGCTCAACTTGATTATTCGCAATTTGATACATAACTCCGAGTCTATATTAGCATTAAAAGCATGATGTTTGCTAGTCAAGTAATTCTGATCTTATAACCTGTGCAATAGTTAGTTAGTCAGAGAGATATATATTCGATATTCTTCATAAGCTTGTTATATATATAAGTTACTGGAAGGAGAAAGCATATGCCATCCTAAAATGTAAATACTTATATATATTCGTGATTCTAGAACTTCGTCCGTTTGTTAATCCGTTTGTCTGCCTGTTGCATAATATTACACGCAACTGCAACTGCTTAAGATAGATTATTATTATATATAGGTTTTCTTATATCAGATGATGCTTCCTTTTGTTTTTTTCGCTGGGGGAATATCCTTAATTTTGCATATATTAAGCAATAATTAAACGTGGAGAATTCGCAATAAAAACTTTTTTAAATTGTGACACAGAGCAAAGCAGCAGCAATGTTTGTTGTGTGTGGATATAGTATATGGTGTATATAGTATATTTTCTATATAGAAACGTACAAATGTTATGACAATTCGCAGATGGCTCGAGGGTATGTCATAGTCTGGCCCTGTCGCATAAAACACGTCTACCTATTTCGTTTAATTCGATTATTAACGAATATTCTATTGACTTTCCCCGCCTCTGTTTACGTCATAATGTGCAGTCAATGTTGAGTTACCTTCAACAACAGCAACAATAACAAATCCTGCACAATTGTGTTGCCAAACAATTGGCACATATATATATGGCTGGTATATAGTGATCGCTTTTGCTAGATGCCTGTCAATTTTTTCCAATCATCGAGTCTGCTGAAAATTCTAGCGCAACAATATTAAAACGCAAACAACAACAGCAACAACAACTATAATAAATAAATAAAAAAAATGCATTAAGGGGGGTAATAATGGGAATCAAGCAAAACGTAGTTCCAATGGGGCCATAAAATTCTGACAATTTTCTGACAGCAAACATGCCAACACTCAAAAATCGTAATATACACAGACGGGCGGGGCAGCGCTGCTGGAGGGGTATGATTGTGTACTTGTGTGTGTGTGTGTGTGTGTGTGTGTGTGTGTGTGTGTGTGTGTGTGTGTGTGTGTGCTATTGTTCACTGTTTTAGCTGGAGTTGGAGTTGGAGTTGGAGTTGCGGTGTGGCATGTTAAATATACGTCACGGCTAAAACGAGCACATGTCTAGCGCCAAAAGTTTCAAGGATATAGCCAACGCCAACAGCAAAAAAAAAACAACAGCAGCAGCAACAACAACAACAACAGCAACAAGAGGCAACAACAACGGCACACTCTAAGTTGTTGGCGGCGGCGAAAATTAGCTAGTGGCATCAAGGGGTTGCCAGGCCAGGCAGCCTGGCAGCCGTTGTCCTTGCCTGGGTCCTTCGGTCTGTCGTTCGGTCTGCTCTGCTCCTGGTCTACTCATATTTCAAAAGTGAACACACTCACAACGACGACATTTTACTGGCACAAACGACACTTATTGTTATTAGCACATCGGGGCTAAGCGTTGCTCGGCTCGGACTTTCGCCCATTGTCCCGGCCACTGGCCACTGGCCACTGGCTTCCATCTACTCTGCGCCTGGCTACTGGCTTCTGGCTCCTGGCTCCTGGTTACGAAAAACGTGTTAACCTTTTGCCGCGCGTACATTTCAAAAGCCAATTACATGCGCTCTTAAGCGTGTAAAGTTTTGTAATATGATTTGTGTTGGCCGCTTTTGGGTCTCCAGTATCCTTGCCACTGTCCTGTCTACCTGTGCTGCCATTTTTATAAGCGTGTCCTGCCAAAAAAGCGTGCATAATATTGTAAAGCTTAGCATAACAGTTACCCTATGTGTGTGTACGTGAGTGTGTGCTCTCGCATCTGAGGGTTGTTCTTTAGTTTCAATTGCTCAGAACCATATAAAGCTTAACGCTTTTCATGTTTATATTTTATTGAGTAACTAAAATTTGTGTCTTGTACTTGATAAAACATCTGAATAGAAATTCGAGTTCGAATCTCAGGCGAGCGTATGGAGGATATTTCTAGCTTCCAACTTCTCAAGAGTTCGATCCCTAGAGACTCCTTGTTCAGCATGCTTAAGCCTAGTCCATTACGCTACGATGACGATAGCTTCATCAAATATATATATATGTATATATATCGGTAATACGAAGAAGTTCAATGAACCCTTAACAATAGAAAAATGAAAAAAATAAAAATGTTTTTGAGTCGGGAAGGCCTTGCATTAAAGAACATTTTTTAATTTTTATGAGGCCTACTTTACACCTGAAAGTGTGACAGAAAGCTGACTATAAACATCAAATATTTTAATCAATTTTGCAAAATCTGCTGGAACAAAGTAATAAAAAATATTTCACAGAAAAGTAAGCCTTCTTCGTTGATTCAGACGGAGGTGATATAAATATTGATTGGCAATAATGAATTTAATTGGAACCGTTGTGACAATGTGTGGGAATTTGTTCTTGACGTTTAGAAGACGTTGCTTAGCTTTTGAATATTTTTCGGGAATCGAAAACTTGTCTTTTTCTGTAAACAGTTTTTGTTTTTCGATTATTTCAAGAGTTGGCTCCCTTTTGGATGGCTTTTCACTTTGTTTTCGCTTCATTGGATACATTTAAAGTAAAAAAAAGTCTCGCTACGCGGATTTCGTTGCGCCATTCTTTGGCAGGGCTTCGAGAATGTGAAATGTAAATGGTTTCAGTAGGCCTGGTCTTAGTATTCAGCGGGAGACTTAGTTGTGTCAATGTTTGTCAGATTTTTTCAGTTATATTTCATCGGCATACAGATCGGGTTACAAGCACGCTTCAAACTTTTAGAAATTCGCTTGGCGCTCGCAAAACTTTTCCGTTTCGGTTTTAAAATTCAAAACGCCCACAAAATAGCAATGGCGTCGAATAGCAACAATAGCAACAGCAACAACAACACCACCACCAATACGACTACCACCACCAACAACAACAACACCAACAACAACAACAACAACAACACCAACAATAATCACTACAACAACACAACTACCACCAGAACCACTGACAACAATACGAACAGCAATACTAACAACAGCAACAACAACAACAGCAACAGCAACAGCAACAACAACAACAATAACAACAACAACAACAATCACAACAACAGCAACAACAACAACCACAGCAATATTTTGATCAACCGACGCCGCCGCCATAGACAGAACATTTATGACTATATGGAACGCATGGAGATGCCGATGATGTTGCCGTTGACGATGCCGACACCGATGCCGATGCCGATGCCGATGCCAATGACGATGCCAATGACGATGATGACCCCGATGCGCGGCCATATCGAGCGGTATGCGCGACAGCCGATGCTGCGGACCAGAAGACAGCTGGGCGGCTGGGGGGCGATGGGCAATGAGGGCCAGGCTGGAGATGTTGGTAATATTGGCGATAATAATCATGTTGTGGGCATACCCACCGTCGCGCCCGCTAACCATATGGCCCACATGGGCGGCGGCGATGCAGAGATCATATTTGAGGCGCCATTGGCGCCGCAGCATCGCGGCGCCGGCGATGGCGTGCAGGGGGAGGCGGCCCAGCCGCAGCCGCAGCGAGTGATCCAGCCGCCAAGACGGGAGACACTGGAGCAGCGTCGCGAGCGCAGCGTGCAACAAATACTGCGCCTGTGCGACTTCATACAGCAGCAGCTGGCGACTATTGCCGCCCAGATCGATGCCTACGAGAGGAAACTGGCCCAGCACAATGCCCAGTCACCGTCGCCCCCGGAGCCCGACGGCGATGTCATATAGAGCTTGCATACCGTGCAGCCGCTCTTGGGGATGCTGGAGGAGATGGGCACTGGATCTGCAAGAGTTGGATGAGCTGCGTTGCTGACGCTCAGTTCTCTGATCTCGGCTTCCGTATTCGCACAAAATTCGCTAATTGTTGGCGTGTTTCATTTTGTTTGCACATTTTAATCAACAATTCCTTTTCCAATCCAAAATTGCCTTCGAGTGCACGTGTTATCGTTGGACGCACAATTGAAGCAAGTAAAATGTATGCGCTCCAAGAAACTCATATGACTTTTACTTACATTCGCAAATCTCTCAATTCAACTTCAGCTTATATTTTGTATACCCGGTACCCCTTGCAAAAGTAGAGGGTATAATGACTTGTGCCAATGTATATAACAGGCAGATAGACGCTTCAGCTTACCCTAAAGAGTATATATATTCTTTCACAAAGCCCCTACAGTTTATTCTGTGCGTTTGGCAACAGTCGTCAATCAGTCAATCAGCGAAGATGTCATTAAATATTTTATAATTATATTGATTGCGGTATAAATCTTTGAACAAATTTAATGCTTTTAGTTTTATAATATATATCGCTATAATGCCTATTTAAATATATATTTTTTCTTTATTATTGAAGAAGAGACCGCTGACTGAGACTTTTGTTCGATCGAATTCAGACTTTTAAAATGTTTTTAAGAGTTACTTGAATGTTCTGTAGATATATACTGATGTATTCCTATTTATAAGTACCATTCATCAAGTTACAAACTGTAGGATAATAGAAAAATTAAACTAGCAAAAATAGCTTCGGCCTTCAGTTAGTTACGAGTTAAACATTCCAAGAAAATAAATATCTTTATGTGCTGCGAATAGTTAGAGGAACAGGAATGCTTTGAACGAAGCTCGAAGTTGCCTGTGTTCAATTAGAGGCTTGCAGACTTGTTTACTAATGCATCCACTGCTGGCAGTTCCCGCTGAAATGGCTGCCAAGCCCACCCACTGTCGACAGGCCAACAAACCCAACAAACCCATTTTGGCCCCCCGGACCACGGGCAGGTTTGCTGTATTTCGTGCAAAATGTTCAAAATTTCAAGTGTGCTAAAGAAATGACATGCAAATTAGTTTTGTTCAAATGACTGACAAGTTGTAAAAGCGCACTAACGGATTGATGGGCTACAGAAGGGGCGTTGGCAGCGGCAGGGGCATGGGCAGGGGCAGTGGCAGGAACGTTGCACAGGCAACAACTGGGTAGCAGCGCCGAAAATTTCCTACGAAATAAGGGTTGCCGTCGACTCGTTGGTTAGGAGCCGCAACGGGCAGGCGACCATAAAGACGGCAGAGCGAGAGAACAAGGCAATCACCGTTTACTTTGGCCACACAATGCGAGCAGTGCATAAATAAACAACAACAGGAGCAGCGGCCAAAAAGGATATTTTATGAGTGCCGCACATGCCGCTCACTCCTTTTAACTCTTTCAGCCGCCGCCGCCTCGGCAATTTTGCAAGTGACATTGATCTAAGTGCTATGGCAGTGGGCCATAAACCTCTGACCCGGTTACCATATTGTTCGCTGACCAAACCCAAGCGCGACCGCTGCACAATGCACCAAGTGGAATCCTGGCCGGCTACCTGCACCGGCAGCGTCCACTGCCAGTGCCTGGAAACAAGCCGCGCAGCTGGCGAGCATTTAATTAGCTGCGAATTAGTCGCAGCGTTCAACAGTTTTGGTTGCTTGCCACGCCCACTGATAACAAGCCGCCCCATGTGCCGTTTGCCTTAGTCCGCCCTTGCTAAATATTTGACAATTTAATTAGTCTAAAATTGGGATTATCTTAGTGTGTGAAAGTGGGTGTGAGTGTGTGAGTGTGTGTGAGTGTGTGAGTGTGTGTGTGTGCTAGCGAGCGTGTGTGTGTCTTTGCCAAAGGGCTTGCCACATCTTTGTGCCGCTGCTTAGCCTTGTGCTGCTGCAGCTTGTGGTCGCCGTTGCCGCATCAGCGATAGCGCTTGATCCTTTGATCCTGTTGGGGCTTAGGGTTTGTCTGTGGGGGTCTTGGCGGTGGAGGTGGCGCGGGGGAGACGCTGCTGTTAGCAAATTTTAATTAAAATGCTGCTGCAGCTCATTTAGCTCATGGCCTTTGGCCTTTGACCTTTGGCTTTCGCCTTGCTTTCTTTTTGCGCTCTTTGCCCGAAACCCGATGCGCCGTGGCCAAATTTTAATTAGCTTAGATTGGGCCACAGTCCAAAAAAAAACCCTTTGACAGCGGCCAAACATGTACGCTGCATGTAGCGCCATTATTAACATCGGTCGGACACACACTCGCACACACACGCATACAGGATCTAATCTCCATAACCCTTGCTCCGGCCCAACTACACCCACTTTCTCATGCCTGCTGGGAACGCTAGCTCGCGTACACGCAGTGCGGTGGCAATCAAATAAACTTCCAAGGGAGCTGACGGCCCGGTGGTGGTGCGGTGGTTGGCCATCTGTCTGTCTGTCTCGGTGGGTCTCGATGGGCCTCAGACAATTGCTGCAACGCGTTAAAAACAAAATCCAATAATTGAAAATCGGCTTTCAACGAATCATGTGACAAGAGTGCATAGCTACACACACCCACCCGAACTCACTCACACACACACACACACACACACACGTTGACGCACACGAACCATGCAAAATGCATTGCATAAGCAATAACAGCAACTGCAACAACAACAACTTTGACAGCATTCTGGCAATGTGACCAAATAAAACCAGGCGTCCACAAAGCAAACTACTCCAAATTTACATTCATGCAAAAAATCATAAAGAAGTGGAGAAAGCAAATACGGCTGCGAATCCCCAGCCAGTGGAAGTATGTAAGTATTGTGCCTTCTAGTAGTCAGTGCTATTTAAGAAAATAGGTTCATAATCACAAGCCATACTTAAGGTAATAACAAGCCTGAAAGTTAATAGAAATCTCCAGTGGTTTGGTTTGAGCCTACTCTCTACCTTAGGGCTTGAAATTTTGTTTTGGTATTCATTTTAAGTATTTAATTCCAGTTTTTAATTCATAACTGATGCTTCAACTGAACATATTGCAACAGTTGTATGCATCTTCATGTTAAAAATCAAAAGATGTTTCAAATCGAGCTTCGGTTCGGCTGTTATTTTGGGCTACTAATTTGGGTAAAGGTTCAAGGTTCAAAGTTATAAGTAAATGTGTGGCTTAAGTGGCTTTGGCTCGAAATAAAAAATCGAGTGTGCTCGCTTAGGATATACCCTGCACTTAGTGGATGGAGTGAATGGAGCGAATATATATACAAGAAAACACATTCACTCCGCAGCTCAAGCAGCCTCAGTGCTTCTTCGGACTTTGTTATTGTCCGATTAATATAAGGCGTATGACAAAAAATATTCACCATATGCACTGAGCCCATTAAAAAAAAAAATAAATGGTTCTTACATACAGCGAAGACTTTAGAAATTATTTCTACAACTACATTTTAATACCCTGTACCCATTGAAAATGTCAAAAAACGGGCTTACTTTATGTATTATGTATGATTTTTGAGATGCGGACAGTCATGGTGAATCGTTGTGTTCTGGAATCGCAGCTTAACAGTCAGTGTCTGGCGTTCCCCGGCCCCAACGCCCCCACTGCTCCGCCGCCCAAGCTGCCACCCTGCTACACCCTTTGCTGCCACATTTAGTCCCTGCTGCAATTGACAGGACATTGTCGCGTCGCGTTGCACGTACAACGCAACGGAAGCGCATGGCATCGAACATCAAACAACAACATGACCAACAACAACAGAAACAACAACAGCAACAAATAAACAAACAAACAATTTTCAATTGGTTCACGCCGTCGTGTTGCATTGCTGTTGTTGTTGTTATTGTTGTTGCGTCCCAGTCGAAGGGCAAAAAATTAAGTACAACAAAATGTGCAAGGCACGGGGATGGGGGGTCAACAGGACGACAAAGATTTTTATTCCTTTTGCATGCAGCATGTTTTCTAAACAACGCATACAACAACAACAACAACAAAAACAACAATAGTAGCAATATAAACAACATGAATGCCCAGTGCCTGCTGCCTGCTGCCTGCTGGCTGCCGCCTGCTGCTACAGTTGCAGTTTTTTCCAATGCAATCTAAACCGTAATCCAATAAAATCGACTGCAGGAATGCCGTCTAAGCTCCCTTAGCCCCCGTCCGGTCACACATACCCCAGTGGACACTATCGAGACACGGACACACAAAAAGATTTGACAGTTCATCCCGTGTGTGCGACTGTGCGAGTGTGTGTTTGGGATGGGTGGTTGGGTGTGCGCGCAGTTGAAGCAGCAAAAATCGACGCAACGGCAACCAAAAACAGTTACCAGAAATCCGTTACAATGCGCCCGGGAAACCCCGTGCAAGCCCCATCGCCAAAATGAATAGATAGCACCAACAGCAGCCCAAGTCAATTGCAGTGCAACAGCCGAGCGCGGGCAGGCGGAGTGGATGTGGGGGCATTGGGCTCAGGTCCGTTCCCGGGCACGGGGGCTCAGCATCCGCCTGAAGCTCTCTCAGCCCTCAATACTCGTCCTAAAGTGCTGAAAGGAAAAACGAGCAAATTTCCAGATGCTGCTAGGCAGAATTGTTGCGAAATTGCTATTTGCACTCAATAACGCACTCACACACACACACACACACTCAAAAACACACACACAGATACAGTCGCCCCACTCGCTCCTGTGAAACCCGCAACCAGAACCATTCTGGCCACAAGCACTGACCCAACTATATCGGATACCCGCAAAAAAATGTCTATAGTCTAGTGTGTGACGGGGTCGTCGTGCAGAGATATGGGCGGAGCCGCCGCTGGGAGGCCGGGTAGTTGGACAATTGCAGCATGTTGCAGAAAACAGAATCTGCTGCGAAAAAATCCAAACAAAATTTACTTCAAAAAGCAAAAAAGTACAAGAAAAAAATTGAGCGGCTGACAAAGCACTTGCCAAAGGCTGCCCCAAACGAAAGGTATATGTGCGAAGTGAGGCTGGGAGGATGCAATGCAGCTCGAGCAGACGATGGACAGTGTATTGCCACGCTCCTAGTTCTTGCTAATGCTATTGTTATAGTTGTTGTTGCTCTTAGCAAGACTTTGACCTCTTTCATTAGGCTACCAGATTAATAAGCGTCGAGACAAGTGCCGAGACAAAAACATGAACCGAAGCAGATATATTAATATAGAGCGAAATGTGTTGCATTTAATATTTAAGCAGATACCGGAATCCACTTCTGGTTCATAGTCCAGATCAGCTTAATCAATATATAGATATATATTAATCAAAATACATATAAACTTCATAAGCTTTATTTTATTGTTTTCAATTGGGGCACATTCCTGAGATAGAAAAAAAAGGCTCCAACTTGGAGGTAAATGTGTGAATACCTGAACCTTAGTTGG